TACGGTCGGTCCTCGAAGGTACTGATGGAAAGGTGACGGTCCTTAGCGAATACGGGCAGGGTGACAGTATTGGCGAGCTGGAGGTGATGACCGAGTCGACCCGTCCGTCATCTCTACATGCAATTCGCGACACTGAACTGGCTAAGTTCCCGCGGACCTTGTTTAACAGCCTGGCGCAAGAGCACCCCGGGATTACCATCCAAGTATCTAAACTCATCGCACAACGGATGCGAGACCTGGTGGAGCAACCGGTGAAAGAACAAGGGCTGGAACGAGGCAATTCCGGCACCATCAAAACAGCATCTTCAACTCTCAACCTGCGGACTGTTTGCGTCTTGCCGGTGACAGGCGGAGTTCCTGTCGTTGAGTTCGGGCACCGGCTGCTGCAAGCCTTGCATCAGATCGGGGTGACGAACGGCGTCACGTCTCTCAACCAAGCTGCTATCCTGAATCACCTAGGACGGCATGCTTTCAGTAAGATGGGGAAATTGAAGTTGACACAATATCTAGCGGACCTAGAAGAAAAGTATGGAATGGTGCTCTACATTGCTGACACCACGGTAAATGCACCGTGGACGCAAACCTGTATCACCCAGGCCGATTGTATCCTGCTGGTCGGTCTTGCAGAATCCTCGCCCAGCATCGGTGAATATGAACGATTCCTGTTGGGCATGAAAACAACGTCCAGAAAGGAACTGGTGCTGATACACGAAGAACGGTACTGTCATCCTGGATTGACTCGTCAATGGCTGAAGAATCGTGTGTGGATCAATGGAGGTCATCACCACATCCAGATGCCCTATCGTCTCGCGGCTGAACCCACGCATTCTCAAACGAAACGCCTAGGGACGGTATTGAAACAACGAGTCCAGGTCATCCAAGCCGAGATCCAGAAGTACACATCTCGCCGTATACGCCAGACGCCTCTTTATTCGGCCCAGACACCATTCAAGGGCGATTTCCATCGGCTGGCCCGCCGGCTATGTGGTCGTTCAGTCGGACTTGTGTTAGGTGGTGGTGGAGCTCGAGGTATCGCTCAGGTGGGAGTCATCAAAGCGCTTGAAGAAGCCGGCATCCCCATCGACATCATTGGTGGGACCTCCATCGGCTCGTTCATCGGAGCTTTGTATGCTCGAGATGCGGACGTCGTGCCTATGTATGGTCGGGCCAAGAAGTTTGCCGGTCGCATGGGAAGCATCTGGAGGTTTGCGCTGGATCTGACCTATCCAACGGTGTCCTACACGACTGGACACGAGTTCAATCGCGGAATCTTCAAAACATTCGGCAACAGCCAAATTGAAGACTTCTGGTTGGAGTTCTACTGCAACACCACCAATATCAGCCGATCTCGCGCGGAGTATCATTCGTCCGGTTACACGTGGCGCTATGTCCGTGCGTCTATGTCTCTGGCAGGCTTGATTCCACCGATTTGCGACGAAGGTAGCATGCTGCTCGATGGCGGGTATATCGACAATCTCACTGTAGGCCACATGAAAGGGTTGGGTGCGGACGTGATTTTCGCGGTTGATGTAGGATCGATCGACGATAATACCCCCCAAGGGTATGGAGATTCGCTATCTGGCTTCTGGACGGTGCTCAACCGCTGGAATCCGTTCTCCTCATTACCCAATCCCCCCACTCTGTCTGAAATTCAAGCACGGTTGGCATATGTTTCGTCCATCGAGAACCTTGAACGCGCCAAGACGACCCCCGGGTGCCTGTATATGCGACCCCCGATCGACAAATACGGCACGCTGGAGTTTGCTAAGTTCGATGAGATCTATCAGGTGGGGTACACGTACGGCAAAGAATACTTGGAGAAGTTGAAGAACGAAGGGTCTCTTCCGTTACCGGAAGAGACGGAAGAGAAGAAGAAACTTCAACGGACACTAGCGCCCCGACGCGCAAGTATCTGAGGTAGAGAGTATTTCTCAATGCAAATCAATCTAGATATATAGCCTAGAATTCTAGACTCTTACCATGTCAACTGTAGACGTATCTGTAGGGAATTTCTGGAAGACATGATGCTGATGCTGAGATTGTTGGTTCGTGTTCGTTATGCTAGATAGATGTAAGGCGAAAGGTTATGTGTCTGAGGAAAAAAACGAAGGGATCGATCGGGACGGGATCTACAGACCGTCAGACCCTATGCTTACGGTAAGACCGGAGCTTGAGTGCTTTCTCTCTCTCTCTCTCTCTCTCTCTCTCTCTCTCCACTCCAGGAAGTGGAGTGGGCGTCGCGGCGTCGCCCGCCCCCAACCAACTCACACTTAGTCTACTCCGTACAATACCCGATGTTCTAGACCCGGATGGCAACCAAGCTTGTCACTGCCACCGGGGCTAGTTAATGCACTTCAATCCACTCTGCATTACGGAGTAATCCGTTTCTCTCCCCCCCCCTCCCTCTCTCTCCGATTGTTTATCTTTTCTCAAGGGCCCTGCTGACTTGGACATCTGCTCATTACGCGTGCATTTATTTCCTGGGGCCCCATCTACTCCTCCTGAGACATTGCTTGTTTCCGGACCACCCGTCAGAATAAAACCATGCACGTTTGAAACCTGTGTTTATCTCCACCACCTGTTTCCCATCGAGGAACCGGTTCCTCTGGGGCGAACCTCCGACTGAACGATTCTTCGGACGCTGCAGTAGAAACAATGACGGCCTCTCCATGTGGTCCGTTACGACTTTTGCTACATCGCACATGGACTCTATTGGTCATCTGCTGCATTCTCCTGGTGATTCTATTACTGGTCGTGATGGGAGATGAAGCTCTCACAATCTCGCGTTGGTGACCCATCCCTAGGCTTTCATAGCCTGGAGGTCTCTACTAACAGCCAGCAGATCGGCACCCGACAGTGAACCCGGACAGAACTCTGGCTTTGGTTGTGGCAAAGTCTCGAAGAGAGGATACCTCTTGGGCTTATCGGGTCATGCCCCAGTAAGCAGACGCCGTGCTCATGGACAGCTAGACGCGAACAGAAACCAGGCCTACTTACTAACGTCTTGAATAGCTGGAGGCCATACATCTATACTTCCGACCAAGAACCCGGATTTGCCGATCTCCCCGCGAATAAGGGCCGCGAGAGCATGGCCTACTTAACGCACATTATCGATAACTACGATCATTTGGCCGATATCAGCGTGTTCATGCACGGCGGTGATAGCCAGTGGCATAATGATGTCAGGGACCTGGATTCGCCATCATTGCTCCGCAGTCTCAATCTTCGCACGGTGGAGCGGCTGGGATACGCTAATTTGCGCTGCCATCATCGCCCGGGCTGTCCGGTGGCCGTGCGGCCGTTTGACCCTGACATGGCTTCCGACCATAACATTGTGTACCGCAACTTCACCAGCATCTATGTAGACCTATTCCGAGTGCCTGTGGACCAGATTCCTCCGGAAATCGGAGGCGTTTGCTGCGGTCAGTTTGCGGTCTCACGCGAGCGCATCCGGGGCCGACCGAAAGAAGATTACATGCGGATGCGCGATTGGGCGATTACCACGGAGCTGGACAACTTTGCGGTCGGATCTGTCTTTGAAATGCTGTGGCATATTGTTTTTCTAGAAGCACCAGTTGCGTACGTGCTATGTCCCTGGCTGGTTGGCCGGAAATGCAGTGCTAACAGTGTCACGAGTTGACAGTTGTCCCGATACCCAGCAGTGCTACTGTGAACTATATGACCTATGCAACGAAGAGCCCGACAACTCCTGAGTGACCTTCTCCAGGTTTTCGATGGAGCCATTAATCAGAGCGTCGTGACGGCTCACGGGCCACAGCGTCTCCTTTATGGTCGTTTCTTCGGGGAATTACCGAAACAGGTAACAGTCTCCGAGAGGGATTCAGCGCCGAAATTCTAGTCTTGTGCCTACACCCAATGGCAACCACACATCGACTTCAGAGGCGAAATGGACATGCAGCCTTCGTTCCTGGATCCAGTACAATGAGCTTGGCATGCTCCGACTATAAGAACCACCACCTACACGGCTCGAACCGCATCCGCTGTCATGTTTGCGGCCCGGTCCCGCGATCATGGCACTGCCGGAGGCGCAAATTGGTCTAGATGAATTCCATCGTTCTGGCCCCCATCGTCTACAAGTTGAACAAAGTGAAGATCAGCGCCTTCTTCCCAGCAGTGGAGAAGTCACTCCATCTCGACCCAGCTCGACTAGTACAGTAGATAGTTCCTCGACCCGTCAGAGTCTTCATTCCAACACAGCAAATGGTCGCGATGGCGATCCTAGCAGCGGCGGCGGACCTTCTAAGGCCAGCCAACCAGCTACTACCGAGCCGGCCTCGTCACTACTGCTCAAGAAGAGAAAGGGCTGGCGGTGGAGGCATCTTATTGTAAATCCAGGGACGGACGAAGCTTATGAACTCCATGACGATGGCGCCACGCTGACGCGCATCGTGTTCCTTCGGGTCGTGGCCCTTTTCATACTTATAACGTGAGCTACCGGGCGCTCTGTGCGTTCATCCTACATACTATCACTAATCACTGGCATCAAAAGATCAATCGTTCTCGGCGCCGTTGGGAAGAGCTATGACATCGCATCTCTTACGGTCGGAAATGGTATTCTTGTTGATGAAGATGCCCAGCTCGCCGCCATTGGTGTGATAAACAGTATCCTGCAGCTTCTCACCCAAGGGGCTCTCCAGCACAGTTTCACTACGTTGATCACCCGATGGATGACTGGAAAGGGGCAGAAGGGAGCCAGCCTGTTAGAATTTGAGCTGTACGAAGAACACCAGAGTCCCTGGGCTGCCATTTCGGCGTTTAAAGAGCGATGCGAACTTGGTGTGCGCAAGCGTATCGCATGGCTACGACTTGGCGGTGCACTGGCGGTAGGGATCTGTCTCTTTCTGCTCGGGGCAGCCATAAACACTGTTGCCATTCCCAAATCCCGTTGGTGGCCAGACACGCGTTATGTGGTGCCGGATCCTCCGGATGATCGATTCTATTTCACGAACCAGACGTCCCAGATAGCGAGCGTCAGCCGAATGTCGCTGTGGGGCAAAGCCTGGGATATGGTGCGCATCGGAGGGCCTGTTTCTTGGGAGATGGTACGATTCGCCTTTTTCTTGTTCTCTTTTCTTTTTCTTTTTGCATTTGCCTGCCAGAATGATGCTTACAAGTCCGTTCCCTCCAGGCACACTCTCTAGCAGCCTATCACTCCCTCCAAGCCCTGGGCCTTCTTTACGACACTTTCAACAACGCGCCCGGTTGGCGCTCCCTCGGGGATAACGACGTACCTGCCTTTAGCGCAATCCGGATTCCTGAGTCCTCCGCAGTTATCCAATCGATGGCCGTGCATGGCGACCTCGCCATCCAGATGTACGAGGCGCAGAAAGCACACAGCAAGCACAGCTGGGCACGATACTCCACCGGATGGAACGCGCTTCTCCTCATCCCCGGTGTCCTCCTTACTACCTCTTGTAATGACCGCTCGAATTCCAGCAGCAGTAGCAGCGCAGGGGCCTGGGAAGCCACCTCCAATTCCAACGCAACCATCACCCTCATCATCGGCCCCGTCACCACCGACAACGACAACAGCGACAACGCCTTCCCTGGTGCCACCTGCCAGCTCCAGGTCCAACAAGCCCAGATCCCCCTGGGTCAATGGCTGTACTCCGGCACCAGTAACTACGCCTACGCCATCGACTACGGCGAGAACAACCCCATCCCGGCCCTCGCCCTCCTCCCCAAGAACAGCACGTCTCAGGCCGACGCTTCCATCGCCGCCGAAACCACCAGCTGGTTCACAGCGATTCTTCCCAACCTCCAATCCTTCACATCCGACCCTGCCCTCCTCAACCTCACCTCGCTAGCGCTCACCCTGGCCGATGACCTCGTCAGTCTGAACCGGGGGTATACGCGCCTGGATGGGGTCGCAGCTGTTGTTGCCACGGTATTCACGGACATGATAACCTCGTTCGACTGGACATATTCCGCTGTGCTGCAGGGGGCGACTTCAGAGGAGGGTGGTGGTAGCAATGGTACGGTCCAGACGACCCTGCAGGGTCCCGTGCGGTGGCAGCTGTATGGGTCCGGACCGCGGTTGCCGTGGGAATGGACCATCGCCATCGTGCTGGCGGTGGCGGTAGCAGTGCATGTGGTGGACCTGGGGGTGGTAGTATGGTCGCGGGGGTTGCGGGAGGGGTTTTGGCTGAGTGTGGATGGGATGATGGCTGTTGCGGGTGCAACGGGGAGGACCCCTACTCCTTCTCCTTCTGCCTCTGCATCGGCTTTTGCTGGAGATGCGGGTGTGACGAAGGAGGGGCCCACGGAGACGAGGTATATCGTTCGAGAAGAGAAGCCAGACACATTAGAGGGGCAGGCGGGCGCGGGCGAGGAGGGGAAAGTGGTGTTGCTGAAGGCTGGGGAGGAAGATGATGAGGACCGGTATGCGGTTATGCGGCCGGGGAGGAAGTACAGAGGTGTTGGATAGGGATCCTTGGCTTTCCCGGTGTGTTTTGACGAACGATGCCAGGGCTCGGTTTATTTTTTGACTAGATGGTTGTACGGATCAAGCTTGTAGACGCCGCTGATTGTTAGAATTGTTGATTTCAATAGAGTTAGATATACGAGCAGCTCTGCATGAAGCGAAGCATATTTACGTCAAGTCCAGTTTAAAAAGGAGAGCATCGTCGCAATTGTTTCCCGATTTTAAAAAGAATTACATGCTGGGTTTCATTTCAGTCTAACTGCACTGAAAGTTGAGAAAAGGAAGATTAAGTTGATTACTGTAACTATAAACGTGGTAGCGAGAAAGGTAAACACAACAACAACAACCATAACCACTAACTCTTCACCCACCACCTCATCATCATCATCATCATCATCATCAACATCATTAGATCCATTACCGCAGCACCATCACCATAACCACCAACCAACCAACAAACATAAAACCCAAGTCCTCATGCAACCCCTCCCAACCACATCAATATTAAGCTAGTAAATAAATAAAGTAGCAAGTCATGGCGGGCGTGAGGTAGTTCCCGCCGACTGAGAACATGGTATCATCACAACAAGGGTCGAAGAAAACCCGAGACAAAAGCCGATCCCCACAACACAATCATCCTTCGGTATAGTTCAAGACCTTAGCCGATGAACAGTGGCCCCAGACCAGCAAGCACATTCCTGCCCAGATTAGGTCCCATTCAGTTCACACCAAGTAAGAACCGGTGGAGGCGCTAAGCCGACGCAGCGAGCGGCGCATCCGCGGGCCCGCCGTGCGCGCCGCCCGTGTTCTTCTCGCGGACGGGGGCGGCGTTCTCGCGGCGGTAGGCCCAGAGGGCGCCGACTTCGAGGAAGATGGCGAAGAAGGTGAAGATGCTTTTTGGTGGGGGTTAGTATTCGCTTCTTTCTTTTGAGTCTAGGGCGGGTGGGGATAGCGCGAGAGCTGTAACGGGGGTGAGGGGAAGGTGCGAAGGGCCACGTACAAAGTGAGGAAGATGAAGGCCTCGTTGGCTTTCTTCAGGGCGCAGGAGGCCCCCGGGGGAGCGTTGGCGGCGCAGTTGTGCCAGTTGTAGTCTTGGGCGGCGAAGATGAAGGAGGTGAGCCATCTATTTTGTGTCAAGGTTAGTGGCTGGACTTGCTTTGGGGAAGGTTGTATGTGGTTTAGGTTTGGGGACAGGAGGGGAAAGGGAAAGGGGGAACGTACAGGTAGGAGAAGATCACGTCAATCGCTAGGACGAACTTGCTCAGGGCGTGGGGCATGAACGGCGAGACGAAGGCCGGGAGGAAGAAGACCACGGAGATGGTGGACTGGACCATACAAGATGGTGGTTAGTCGGATGGTGTATACTTCAGAAGATCAGGGGAAACAAACGTACAATAACCTCATCGTAGATGATGTGCTGGCCGCGCGGACCCCGGTGGATGAAGTAGGAGGTGATGCCCATCACGATGACTGCGCTGGCCCATTGCATGAACCGGGTGAGCAGCTGCAGGGGACGCGCCACGGTGGTCGAGAGCAACATCTTCGGTATATTGTATTGTCTTTTCGACTCTGAGGAGGAGATGGATGACCTGGGGAGATCGAGGGTGGCCTAGGGTTGCTTTAAATTCGCTGGGGAAAAGAGAGAGCTGGGAGAAAAGGGCGTGCGCGCGATAGGCAAGGCCTTGAGTGGTGGCTTTGGATTCTTTGTGATCGAACTGGTTACAGACTGGTCCTGAATGGCATCAGATGTGCGACATGGACAGGGTTCTTTATACTCAAGAGGAGGGGGAAAATGCACATGGTCTATCACTCTTCGACCCCCAAGTCAACACCCAAGCGTAGCATTTACGTCAGAGGTCCATCTACGCTGTGATAGCTTCTTTTTTTCTGTCTCTTTACATTAATTCGGGGTCTGCACAGATTCCATCTTCTTCTGGTTCTGGCCCCAAAGACCAGATGCCGAGAGAACCGTGTGTGAAGGTTCGATGGTGGGAGGGAGGGAGATAGAGACAAAGTGTTGGCTCCCCCAGATGCGTCATAGTTTCCCTTCTGCATGAAGTAAGTTGATTCCGAACTTGGTCCAGGCTTTGGGCGATTGGGTGATGTTTTTCCTTTAATGAGGAAAAGGTTTTGCAAGTTGGCGCTAGTTGCAGCTATAGCTAGCTAGTCAGTTGGTTGACATGGTTGATTAACCCAATTCTTGTCCAGTACCCTTGTTCATCTTCTGCCCAACGACAAGCATTGGAGGAGGGGAAGACCATCACAGCTCAGCTTCGCAGGGGCCCGAAGCGGGAACGCTTGGCAGTAGACGATTGGCATCACATCACTGATCGGCAAGAGGCATGGACTGATGGGGGGGGGATGTGGTGCAAGGGAGGAGGTTGCGTGATGACTGAATCATCGAGAATTAACTTAACTCATAGTTAGTTGCTTCAATATCGGTTGCCAAATGGCCTGTCATCAGGGCTTGGCGCCCGGCATCCGGTACCGATGGTAATCTTACCGTCATGGTCTGGCCGCTCTTTCCGCCCTGCCCAGACTTAGCACCAGCGAGATGGATTTCTCTTCTCTGATACTACAAGAGAAAGCAATAGAAATGATATGGAAAACAGCCGCAGAGATTCGAAGCAGCAAAAATAACAACAACAGCAGCAGCAGCAGCAGCAGCAGCAGCAAGAGCAGCAAGAGCATCAACCAACAGAACAGAACAGCAACCACCACCACCACCACCACCAAAAACCAGGAACCAGTGGCCGAACCACGCCATGTCCATCGTGCAACCCGCGGATGAACAGGAAAAGGTAGGTTCCACTCAAATTGTTTTCCTTACCCTCCTCTGCCTCTGCCTATGCCTATCGAAGCTTCGAGCTTAGCCGAACGGCGCTGCAGATCCTGCCGGATGCCTCCGGCAGCAACCAGAATGATTTCATTCTTTACTACTGATAGATTGATCAACTGACTGAGGAATGATATCCAAGACCCACAAGGCTGATTAGGAGACCTCTTCTGTGTATACTCACTCTCAATTTTCGGACCTGGAATTGAACCCACTTCCTCACCTCATACATACTACTCCGTACTCGAGTCGACATAGGTTCTGGAAACCACACCGACCAGCCACCCAGCCGACCAACCGACTCATCCGTATGTACTGTAGAATCGACCTATCTGCATGACGGTACCCTGACCCATCCATACGCATACCTTCATCTTCATGCACTGTGCAATAGCCTACCAATCCCATAGTCACAAAACACTTGCAGTACATCAGTTAATAATAACAAAGACAATAGATCAGTTACACCGTGATACAGAATCCACTATACCCATACACCATACCCCAAACCTAACTTACCTCACGAACCTCGTGACTGCTTTACTGGGGGCATCTCACCACTAAGGAGAACCATTAACTTTCGATGCTGGTGCTGTCCTCGGATGGAAAAGCACTATCCAGAACCAATTGCAGCATCTCAAACCAGAAAGAACCACGTCGGGTTTTGTTCCGAGGATCGTCCACACTTGATTTTGTCCCCTCCCCCTTACATTTTCGGAGATCTGGGGGAGGGGAGGGGATCCGGTGCTGGTGCTGGCGGTGGTGCTGGCGGTGTTGGTGGTTTGTGCTGGTGGGGTTTGTGTTACAATACTCCGTACTTGATTGTCCTTGGACAATTGGGACAATGGGTGAAAGTCTAAAGTATACCTACTATCTTACAAGTTACCATACTTCACAAGCGAAGAGCTATTGAACTCTCGCGCCCGGGCGTCGGTCTTGCAGGTCAAAGATTTCCTGGATCTGCAGAATCAGAGAGATGGATGTTTCCATTCGATGGACGGACAGACAAGATTCTTGATCAAGTTGAGCAAAAGCACTGGGGCCTTATGAAAGACAGAAAGAGGAAGGGAAATCATCTCTTGGCGGGAGGCTGATCGACCCGTGCCAACTACTCCACATACACACACCTATGGAGGACAAGTCTGCTGGAAATTGAACTGACTTCAATATTCTAAAGGTTGAAAAGCTAGTTTCAAGGAATAACAAGAGCTCTCTTCTTCTAGCAAAGCACACACACACACACGTGTGGCAAAAATTCAAAAACAGGTTCCTTCTGAAGGTTCAAGTTAGGTATTGGTTTTCCCTTTCTCCCATTCAATCCGCACTCGCTTGGACGCCGGACGCCTTGTTGTCTTGTTGTATACTAGCTGGAAATCTTTAACCCCACCACGTGCTTGGGGGCTTCGTCGTCCGCAAAACAAAATTCACATTCCAAGTAATACTGGAGTATAAAGCTGGTGAACATTGCAGTCACGGGACGGGCAGGACGGCAAACTCGGGTTCTGTGAGATGCTATGGGTTGCTGTCATATCCGAAAACCCCCGGGGCGATGCTCGGTGACATCATGTCGGAGAGACAATCAGCGGAGTAGAGCGGATATCCTAGATCGACAGGGTCGATAAGGTAAACAAACACACCCACAAACAACCAACAAGTGTTTAGGTATACTACCACGTGGTGACATTACCCAGATCATGTTCCTATTGTAGACCGTGGTCAGCCTCGATACATGCACATCACATCATCCGTTGTATCACTCCCGTCGGGAAGCTCCACAAACTTACCTTGAGGTATTCGCTGCCCTTCTCAAGGTACTCCTGCCGTGTAATGGACGACTTGCGGAGTTCCGAGCCCGACGCCCACTGAGCAGCGCCCTTCCAGGCATCTAGGATAGGGTCCGCCGCCCGGCGGACGTTCAACACGCTGTTGGCTGGTAGACACGCCTGGAAATCGTGACGGAACCGCTCGTCGAAGTTTTGGAAGAGCGTATTGCCACCGGTGAAGAAAACATCGCGCAGCAGCCGGGCCTGTTCCTCGGGATTCGAGAAGCGCTGGTTGACAATATCGGCGGCGATCTCGACCAGTCCCGCCTGGTCGATGCCGGCGATGGATGGCTTGAAGACGACCTCGGGAACCCGGATCCGCTCCACGTTCAGGTGGATTTGATGGGCCTCGCGCTGGCTCTCTGGATCGAACGGCCAGGGACCCCGCAAGAACACGTGCACCAGGCTCTTGGTCCAGTCGGATTGCGCCGCCAGCGTGTGGTTCTCCGTGAATTCCGGATCGTATTCCAGAAGCTCCTTCTCGGCCGCGTCAAGCAAACCGCCGAGATCCTCTTCCTCCTCCTCGTCACTTTGATCGCCGGTAGCCACGGTGCGGTAGACACCCCAGTCTTCATCGTTGGCGCCGAAGGTGTCGTCATCGCCGCCTCTCCGTCTCTTCTTGGGCCCGTCCGCGGCGAGGTTGGCCAGGGTCTTCATGCGCATTTGGCTGGCGAGCGACTTGCGATTGCCCAGATCAGCCTTCATCCTGTCGCGTTCTTTGATTCGTTGCAGGAGGCTCTATAAGACCATGTCAGTGCCAAAGTGCCAATGCATGTAGGTAGATAAATTACCTGACGGTTAGCCCTTCGCTCAGCCAACCAATTGTCGAAATCATTCTCCCGCTTTTCGCGGTCAAGCCTTTCTTCCTCCTCCTGACGAGCCTTCTCCTGTTCCTTCTCGGCCTTGGCGCGTTGGCGAGCCTCTACGTTAGACTTCATCAGTCGCTGATGGCGCTTCTCCTTGAGCCCGGCCTCATCGAGCTCCTCGTCGGGAACATCCAGCAGCGGGAATGACATTTCCTCCTGTGGTTCTTCTGTCTCCTCGATGCCCAGATCACGATTCCGCGAGCGCTTGATCGACCGCTCGAGATCGCGGATCAAGCGGTCAAGGTGTGCATCGTCTTTCAGGTCCTCGGCTTCCAAGATGCGTCGGGCCTCCTTCTTCGACTCGGACGCTAGCCCCCGCTGTAGATCCTTGTAGTACTCCAACTCTTGTTCCTTCTTCATCAACTTTTCCAGGCGCATTTTCGCAGCCTGCTCCTGTAACCTCCGCCCGCTCTCCTTCTTCCGCTCCGCGATGCGCGCCAGCTCCTCCTCCGTCTTCTCCGGAACGACATGCTCCGTATACGGATACTGGACGATGTGGTCCCGATCCTCCAGCCCCGTCCAATCCAGGTACCGGCTTAGTTCTTGGTCGTAGTCCTTCGAGACATAGCAGTGCTTGTGCACCAAATCCTGCATCTGGTTATCGGTCATGCGGGCCGGAAAAGTCGGGTATTTGAGCCGCATCAGCTTCAGGAGGTATTCCGACGCGTGAAGACCGCCCCAGTTCAGGCGCGAGCAGTTCGACAGCAGGGCCTTGTTGTTCAGCACGGGAATGACATGCGTGGACGTATGCGATGAGGAGACGATGAGACCGTCCGTGCCACGGTTATACCGGTAGGAGAATAGGGAGTCGATGCCGTAGGCTACCGACGGCGCCGAATAGCATTCGAAGAGGATTTCGTTCATCACTGCAACCACATTAGCAACCACAAGTTCCCATTGCTGTTTGATCACATCCGCCCGAGAACGACGAGGCGGCCATCAGACTTACTGCGTCGCGGATAGTTCAGATTCGCGATCGGCTCCGTCATAACGATGGGCCGATCGATGCCTCCGTCGGCGCCCCCGTCCACCCCCAGCTTGATAAACAAGTAGTCCAGCACTCCCTCCATCACGTCCCAGTTGCCCACCACGCTCGAGCCGGGATCAAACGCATACCGCAGCTGTCCGCGCGTCGTAGCGTCGACGTAAGCGTCATTTCCGATGAATTGGCAGGCTTTGTTCAGTTTCCGATCGCGATACCGACTCATTACGGGGGGTATGATGAAGCGCGGCTTCTTGTCGAAGGACCACCCCGCTTTGACCAGGTTGGAGCCTAGATCGTAGAAGATATAAGATTAGACACCGAGGCTCACAACCGAAGAGAAGGGTGCTCTTCACTCACCATTGTCGATAACGATGGCGCTGGTGCCGGAGCTCTTCGCATAGCCTTCAGGCTGGGGTGCGTGGTACCCTTTGAACGGGTGATCTTGGGCATTATAGGGCGTGGGAGGTGGCGGTTTTGCGGCCGTCTTTTCGGAAGAATTGACTGAAAATCGAGTGGGGAGGACGGTTGAAATGGAAGTGATGGCCATGGTGGTCTTCTGGGGCCAACCGGGCCCGGTTTAACAGGACTAGCAGTTCAAGAGCTTCTGGTGAAAACCGCAGTTCGTTGCATTGGGATTTGTCGCGGGTTGCAATTTTGCCTGGACAAAGAGTTGGTGGGTTAAGATGAAGGATGTCGAGTGTCCTCCCTCAAAATGGTTTCTTGGAAGGGAGAAGAAGTCTGGAGGCGGCGGCGGAAGTGGTGATAAACGAGATAGTCAAGCAAGAGCTTTGGGTTGGGTTCGCTGCACCTTCCGGCCGCCGGCGCCGCATGATGCCAAGATTATGGGGATACACCTTTTATACAGAACAAGCAAGGAAAATTGTCCGGGTTTTTACATAATTTACTCAACAGCACAAGTCTCATTCACCAGAAGAAGGTTTCATTAGAACAATGGAAACGGAATATCATGTCGTCGTAAGTACAATAGTCAACGCTGGCAAAAGCTCAGGATGGCTCCTTCAGGTTGTCCGTCGCTAGGAGAAGTTAGCAACGTCGAACCAGGCAGGCGCTGTTGCCGACTCGAAATCTACTATACCTTCCAAGTGGAACAGGACATTGGACTGGTAGTTCTTGAACATCTGCGCTACAAGCTCAACATTCATGTTCTGGATGTTGATCTCCTGTAATGCAACGGTCAACATCCTCGACGACAAACATGAAAGGATGCGGAGAATACCTGAAGATTGCGGTTCATGACCATGATTGATTCATTGAGTTTTTCCTGGGCCTGGTCAGTCGTGACCTCTGACTGATTAGAGGGAATAACACACAATGTTGCCGATGATGCGAGATAGCAGCAAGGCTTGCTGATGCTCGTGAGGACTTTCCTGCATGACTTTTAGTTCTTCTCACTTCTCGTAATTCACTTGTACTTTGAGGCTGGGATTGCTTACCATCGTGGTATACTGTAAGGTAGACGCACTGAGATCGTTTGGTAGTGATGTTTGTTTGTTGCTGCCCGTTTGCCAAAGAAACCAATCACCATGTCACGTGACTAATACTGGTCGTCGCGTATCTCAAGAAGAGACAGTAGATCTCATGCAAAGAGTTGTTTCTAGGATCGATATGCCTCGATGTACAAGATCTAAACTGAGTCCCCTCTCCTGAAAGATTATTGCTGGTATTGGGGTGGTGATGCCAGCGCCACCATACAACGACGGCCTGGGTCAATCCGCACATGCTTCCGGACCGCACTTCTAGACTCTCCCTCAGAATCAACTCCGACATTCGCAACCAGGCAACCAGCTTCTCAAACCACGACACCAACTCTGCACCAGCAACAATCCGGAGCGCATTGAGACACGGCCTTCATCATGGCTCCTTTGACACCTGCAGACAGCGAGAAACATCAGCAACTCCTGGACCGTCTCGACATCGCGCACGTCCATCGTCCATTCCGCAACCCGCACTGGAAGCCCTCTCAACGGCGCAACAAGAATGTCAAACAGCTCATATCCGAGAGCTCGAGAAAGGAGGCCTCGGTGATGGCCACACAGACCAACTCTGGAGCATCGACGCCGCTCCCCGCCACCACCTCCGCCAGCACCGAAGGAAGCCAGACCCCTGCGGAGGGCGGCTCACGAACCAACATCGCGCAAGCCGCGCAGAACCTCTCCACGCTGGTCCTGGAAAAGAACGCTCGCGCGGCCTTCTCCGGCCCTACTGTGACCTACACCAACATCGAGTCCGCTCCGTCCTTGAACCCTTCCCAGCAGACCCGATACTGCGACATCACTGGCCTGCCGGCCCCATACACGGACCCCAAGACGAGACTGAGATATCACGACAAGGAGGTTTTCGGCGTGGTCCGGACGTTGGGACAGGGTGTTCCGGAGAGTTATCTGGAACTGAGGGCTGCACACGTTGTGCTGAAATGAGCTTTATGATATCTGGGAGTTACTTTTTTACCATGGGATTATATAGGGTAAGTCCCGCATGGTCTACGCAGAGTAAAGAACAGATGGAGAGTTGGATCTAATGTTATGTTTCTAGCTAGGCGCTATGACTCTTGTCTGAATTTGAGATACAATAATGTACGACCAACACAGTCAAGCGATTCCACCCACCTGCCCCTCTCGAGACAGGTTCAAGGAACTGCTCCGGCTTATTCGTGATCTTGTATTATGAGAAATACGATTTTGATCTTCGCCTCTGTGCTGGAAGAACCAGCACTCGACTAGTACCGACGCTCCACCGGAGGGAACGTCAGTTACAGCATCACTGGGGATACTGTCGCCGCGGCGTATGGTTGCGCTCAGCAATAGGCTGGCACGAATATAGGATACATGAGGAGAAGGTCAGGAGAGGACCCAGCGATTGCACGAACGCGTCGTGCCTGCAGTGTCAGTCCATGTTGTGTTGTTCAACAGTAGCACTAGGAATCAACCATTGAAGTGTTGTTTTGGTGTATTTATCCATTGATCACCTCAGCATAAGAGGCATTGAACCGAATTGCCGACGTAGCCAGCCGATGGGCATTGTTGGGGTGTTGACCATAACACCATAATAGATCTCGAAAGGAGAGTCGATACTATTGCTGAGAGAAAAGATTTAGGAGAGCAAAATCGCGAGTTTTGTGGAAGTGCGGAAGCCAGTCGACCGCCATCCCAAGAGGGACTAGTTCTCATCTCGCCAAGAAAGGAACGTGGCAGAATTGGGGAATTTTGGACGCCTATCATCAATGTTTATTCAACTTGTTGGGGAAAATCATTTGATTGTGTTCTAGTGATTGGGCCGATACAGCAACGAGCTTTTACTCTATCCTTCGAATTAGTCTCACATACCTCTACGAGTGCCCAACTTTCGTGGCCTCTCTGATTGACGTTTCCGCGCGCACGCGACATCTCCGTCGCACATCGCGATCCTCTCCGCAAGCATCTGTTTGCCGATCTACTCAACATCTCGAGTTTCGCATCGCGCATCCAATTCGAATCTTTTTGCCGTCAAATCAGGACCACCACCCCCTCAGACACACAGAAATACCCACAAATCCTGCATCAGTGAGACAAAAATGCCAACCATGTGGCTGTCCGACAACCAGAGTAAGCGCAACCGGCAACTCCGATCTACAACCCTCCTAGAACCAAGCTCCATGAAGCAGAGATAACGGCTAACACAGCGTCTTCCATCCCACAGAGATAGGAGTCATCTTCTGCTCCGCCGGTACGCTCATACAAGACCAATCTCACCCAACCTAGACCAGACCAATTGACCCCATGCAACAGGAGCACTATTCCTATTCGGCGGAGTTCTGATGTTCTTCGATCGCTCACTGTACGTCCCAAACACCGACCCTGCTCTCCCACATCACAATGTATCATCACAAAAGCTAACCTTCAAACTTCACAGACTCGCCATGGGCAACGTACGTTCCACTCTTCCTTTTGCTCTCCCCACACCCTTCCTCCGTCTCGCAAAACCCTCTCCTCCTCCGCCCAGCCCCCCGCCAACCCAAACTAACCAAAACACAAAATAGATCCTCTTCCTCATCGGCCTCACCCTCATCATCGGCGTCGAAAAGACCTTCGCCTTCTTCTCGCGCCGCCAGAAACTCAAGGGCACCGCCGCCTTCGTCGCCGGCATCCTGCTCATCCTCCTCCGCTGGCCGCTCACGGGCTTCATCATCGAGCTGTACGGGCTGTTCATCCTCTTCGGCGACTTCCTGGTGACCATCGGCCAGTTCGCGGGGAACATTCCCGTCGTGGGGCCGTACATCAGGACGGCGTTGGAGGCGCTGGCCGGCGGCCGGCGGAATGCCGAGTTGCCGGTATAATATCCTCGAAATTGGGGTTCTTTTCAGCTTTCTTGCCCCGGCTCTCATCCTTTTCCCCGTGCGCCAGAAGAGAAGAACTTGAAGCGGGATTTCTACTGTCGTCAAAGCCTACTTCAATAGGTGTCAAGCGACTTTTGCGGATGTGTCTTGCGTAAACCCGGTTTCATGCATGCACTGGAAGCGGGAAAAAAACCCCACAGACCTCCCGTCTACTAAGGCGTGATATAATGTTAACGTGTAAAACGAACCGATAGCACGAGACTTGCCTACTTACCGTTCTTACGACTTTTACTTCTTATATGATGCGCATGGAATACGAAATGTGGAATGTACTGGTTCATGTACTTTTTGCTGCGGTGTGGTGAAGGATATGTCCCTTGTACTTGGTTGCGGAAGAGGGAGGGAAGTCATTTTTCGGTGGGGTGCATATGTGACCCTGGCTGGAGTGTATGAGATGTTGTAATTGTTAATATTCTCTCTTCGGGTGGTTTCTTTATTTTTTATTCGTTGCAGATCGGTTATTGGATATATAGACATTCGTTTTCATATCAAGTAATGATTACCTATACTGGAGCACATTGGACTAACAATGTCGCAAGAGCTCTGACAGGTTGCATCATCCATCTAGACCAGAATCATCTCGGGAGAATGAAAGGTGGCACATATTTGCACATATCTACGCGTTGTGGCTGATATCATATAACAACAGGAGAAAAATAACAAAGGAGAAGATTAAGAACAGACAAAATCGAGAAGGAGACCACCGTGTTCTACATTCAGAGTATTACCACTGCTCCCCCTTGACTTTGTCACCCCCGGCCCCAACGACAGACTTTTTGATTAGGTGTATACACCGGCCCATCTACCGGGGGTTGTTGATGTAGTCAGCGAGGTTCTCGACGACGGTGGCGGCGTTGGTGGTCTGGACGGCCTCGCCGTGGTGGGCGACGAAGACGCAGGAGTTGGCCTTGACGATGACGATACCCTCCTTGCCCTGTGATTCGATTGTGATTAGTTCATCCTGTCAGGATATGGGCGGAAATGACGGTCCCATGCGAGAGGATCAGGAGTTTGGAGGGAGGATTCAAAGATGAGCACGGGGAGAGGGAAGCATACCTTCTTGCCGTACACGCTGCGCTCGTCAGCCTTGATGGTAACGAACTTCTCTCCTCCGACGATGATACCGTTGGCGAAGGCGCTGCTGGGGTCCTTGAAGATGGCGGCGAGACCGGTCAGCTCCTGGGGAGCGATCTAACGGCGGGGTCAACTCTGAGTTCCATACGGTAAAGAGGGGGACATGGCCGGGTGGGTGACTGCGCGCCGACCCGATGGCGGTGGAATCATACCGTGAAGCCGGGGGACGAAGCCTCAACATCGGAAAAGTCATAGGCGAGAATGGCAGCCTTGTCGAATTGGCCGGATCCCATCAAGCTGGAAGGCGATGGTTGTGTTAGGATACATGCTGAGCTGGAGCGATATAGGGATGCATTTGAAGCGGGGTAGAGGCGGGATGGTGTATATACCTGGAATCGACATAGCCTGATCAAAACAAGAGTGAAATTAGTTATCGGATACAGAAATGATAGTGAGCAGCAAGATGCGAGGATAGAGATTCCTAATGGAGAGGAACGTTTGAGCATACCTTGCCAGATAGCGGAGTGCTGACCCATGGTGACGGTGGTGATAGAAGTGGTGGGATAAACAAACGACGGAGATGGTCGGGGAGAAGAACGGAAAGGAGGAAAGGAGGAAAGTTCCCACAAGGCAGAAAGAGTTAGGAGGGGGGGTAGAAGGCGGTCGTCCAAGGAAAAAAGTCGGACCAGGAAAGATGATAAGTTGACTACTATGTAATGTACAGCAGTTGATGGATAGGAGGTTGAGGAAAAGGAGGGGAAAGGAGATGAAGAGGGGGGGGTTTAGTCAGAAAAGAAGATGATGAGGTGGGGGTTTCTGTTGGTCGCTCGCGCGCTTTCTCTCTCTCCCTCTCTTCCAGTTCTCTTGTTCTCAATGTGCCCCGCCAAGCTCCATCAGACTAAAATGAGACTGATTGACTGATTGACTGATTGACTGCTTCAATCATTCTTGTTTCCTATAGTTCTCTATAGGGTTTTGTTCTACTACTCACTAGTTCCTACTGCCCAGCTTAATCTTTCTCCTCCATTCACTATCTCAATAGTGCGAACCCTGATTGTCCCCTCATGCTCCCCCTCTACGTCATTCCTCTTGCACCCGCGACTGATCCGTGGTTTGGAGCTGTCTGTCTGTCGGTCTGTCTGTCTATCCAATCTATTTAGGCTTCCTGCGTGAATCCGACTCAAGCTGGCTGTCAACAGTCCAAGGATGAGAGCCCTGGGGCGGTGGAGGGACCAGCACCAGGTCTCCATAATCCGAGGCAATTCGGAATAGCTTCCCTGCCTTTGCAAATGCTAGACCCTGTTCAGTCCCACCGATGCTCTTACCGCCTCTTCTGTCTCTGCGCAAAGATGTCGAAGAACTGAGACTTTTCCCCTTAGCGCAGGCTTGCAAATGAGCAGTGGCGAAATGCATGAGACCAGCTCATGTGTTGAACATCAACTGCACTCTTCATTATGCACTCTGCAGCCTTCCGGCAACTCTACTATTCTCTTGAGTTACGAACCGTATTCGCTCCCGTTGACGGAGCCTCACAGATGATCGACTTAGTCATGGGACCGGGCCACGTCAGATGCAGAAACAAGGGAAATTAGCCCTCGGAACAAGCGTGTGTTGGTCAGGCAGTCAGTCAGTCAGTTGCTCTGACAGCTGCAGACTTGCATCTGACATTCTTGTCGTACGTACTTATAGTCTTCCCATGGACATGACACAACTCAATCATGGCCTGTCATACCCACTGTTGTGCAGGAGCGAACGGCACGTGCGAGAGAGCACGGAATTGGTCTGAAACAGTCTCCTTTCGCTTGTAGCGCCCACGCGAAATCTGTGACAAACCCCCCTTTGCTGCAAGTATCAGCATCTTAGATCTCCTGGATGGGCACAATGTTATTGGCTCCGAGATCTCAATAACTCCAGGACGATGTCCAGCTGCGAACTCAACCCTGCGTCTGCCAAGCTTGTTCTCTCGATCCCTCTCGCCCATGGGATGAAGCCGTAATCAAACGCTCAATCAATCAGATCCCGCGATAAGCACCTCCGTGGCGCTCACAGATGCCACACATTTTCCGCCCGCGTAGCTCCTGTAACGCCTCCTAGACAATTTACTTCCAGCGCTCTCGTTGGTCACTGGGTTCTGGCGCTTCGTCAGATCTTACTCAGTCCAAATCCCATTCAGTATCTAGACTGACCATGGATCCAACAAAACAGTCTGACACTAACCAGCCCCTGCCGCTTGTTTCATTTAGGTGTTGCGCCGTCCGTCGGCCTCAGGCTCCACCCTGAACAACGGCTTTGTCTGGCGCTTCTTTCTTTCCCTCAACTTACTGCTTCTCCTCCATCCCTCCTTTTCTCCCGACCATGACTGAATCTTCGGCTTCGTGACGATTTCGTGGTACTGTTTCGGGCCTTCTGGAAGGCCGTCCATTCCTTTTACTTCCAAGCCTTCATGACTGGTTCTTGAAGTACTCTTCTCCGACATTCTTTAACCTGTCACTCCTTTGCCGGTTTATATTACCACCTCCACTCTTTTATCTTTGCTTGATTCAACCTAAAGGGCGCTCACGGACCATTCAAAATCCCTTGTATCGTCGCTAGCATCCTCGATTTCTGGGAAACCTATTACAACCGAAGCTTTCACCATGGCTCTAGGCACCTTTCGTGGAAGGTCGCGTACATTGCGCCAGTCAGAGGCTAGTTCCTCGCCTGCTCAAAAGCACGCAGACGCGCGGCCGCGCAAGAATTCCGGACGTCACGAACCAAGCGCAAACTTGCCTCAGGACTCCGCACGCCCAAAAACGGCAGAGCAGCAGCAGAGGCATATGCAGGATGCCAATCCTGGTTTTGATTTCCAGATCCCAGCAACCCCTTCGAATGCCATGACTTCGCCAACGAGCCCAATCATCTCGCCAACAGACGGCTTGATTGGTGTCGCACTAGGAAGCCCCCGCATGGTCGAGGTGCCAATGGCAATGTCGCAAGAGCAGCAGTTCGAGAGGCCTCCGGAGGCCCCATTGCGACCATCGCTACAGCGCAAACCAAGTAAATGGAAGAAAATCGGAGGACTATTCAAAGCAAAGAGTGCATTGAGTGCACCTGTTCCTAACCAACCCTTCTATCATGTCCAACCGACTCCTGAGTGGCCAATGCCAGCATCTGCAGTCTCCATTAACCGACGCCAACCGATACTCGAGGAGAGCCCCAATCTTGACGAGAAGCCCATACTCGAGGAGGAGCCCAAACCCGGGGATGTCCATAAGAAGGCCGACCCCAGGCCCGATGATCAACCCAGCCCCATCGAAGCTTGGCCATCCCTGGAACTGGAACCAACGCCGGAACCTATGGCCCTGAAGCACGAACAGACGGCTGCTATAAATGAGCCATCTCAGACCGTTAATGCATCCTCGAACTTCATGCCCTTACTCCAGATTGATATTCCTGATATCCAACTGGAACGGTACAGTGTTATGTTTGGGGGAGTTCTGCAGAAGAACAGACCCCCATCGTTGAATCGACGGAGCAAGACGCTGAATGATGCAGACACAGAAGAGGCGAAGGTAAGTTGCTCATGTCTTCTAACTGTGATCCGTCTAACAACCTGTCTCAGCAACCGTCGCCTCCGTCGCCAGAAATGGTTCCTCCTCGTCGAAGGGCGACCTCACCAACGCGTTCACGGTCTAATTCTCCGAACTTCACACTGTTTCCTGCCACCCAAGTCAGCAAGGCTTCGAAGGTCCTGGGATCGCAGAACATACCCCGTGGCCCTAGCCCATTACACAAGTCTCAGACATCATCAGCCGAGTCTCATCGAGAGGATGTGTCTAAGGATAAGAGCCATCTCGTTCTCATGGTGCACAGTTCCCCGTCCTCGCACAAGCAACAGAGTTCCGTGTCATCGTTCCTATCAGCAACATCTATCAGCTCCGAGGACGAAAGACTCCTCCTGCAGAAACTCAAGCCGGTGCGCAGCTACGTTGATGAGCGAGAGCCCGAATGGGAGATCATCAACAAGAAGT